GTCGATGGATCCTGCCTGGACTTTGCTATGGCCTTTCGGCCCGTATCGCGTTTCGGCGTGATTTTCCGCCGAGGACAAGACGGGTGAAATCCACCACGTCACAGTAGATATACATATATTCCGCATATAAAGATCGCGAAGCTCAGAATACATGGGTATGTCCAGTCTATTGACATATAGTGTGGACTACGCGATCCCTACCTTAGATCCTTTTAATAAAGTGTCCGCTCAAATAAACAAAGACGAAATGAGGTGGCGACCAATTATTCTCCTTTTCTAATATTCCCATTGCCTATGTTTTCTATACTCTCGTACAACGGCTGCTGGTTAGAAGAAGATAGTGCTTGGCCACCACCAGTCGCTATCTTTTTCTTTCAGACGACCATTTTTTCTGTCTATGCGTAGTCCATACTATATGTTGATGGACCAGTCTATTTGTACTCATAAGGGGAGGAAACGGTATGGGAAATGAAGTTTCGAATGAAACTTCGTAGTGATGAAACCTCATACCATGCTCAAGTTCTACAGACCAATGGGCAGCAAATTTTGAGAAGAAGAGCCCTAAAGTTTGTATGGGAACTTATATATCTAAAGGTGTAACCTAGCTACAAGTGGTTTGGCGGGCGAAGCGGTAACGTGTCAACTTGATAAGCCAAGGGTTCCGTGCTCGAATTTCTGTGCTCTTGAATTTTTATTTCACGAATTTTTTTGCATTTATTTCTGAATTTGTTTAATATTATAATAATAATCGTGCAAATATGTGTTGTCATTACAATTCTATTATTTTTGCTTCTTGTAAATAATAAAAATCAGTTTGTGAAAATATGTAAATACAAATACAATTCCTATTCCTAGTTTCCTTGACTGTATTATTCCTCTATACACAATATTTTATATATTATACTCCATATAAATATTTTACAGCGGTAGTTATTGCTAACAAGTTTTCAAAATTTTATTACTTTCGTTATAATTTAATAGCAAAAATAATAAAATTGTAATGACAATACATATTTGCGTGATTATTATTACAATATTAAACAAATTTAGAAATAAAATGCAAAAAACTTCATGAAAAAAAAAAGTTTACAAGCAGAGATTCGAACACGAAAACTTTAAAAGTCACAAGCCTGCATGTTCAATTTTTTTAACATCCAATTTTTTTAATTGTTATGAGTAGTTATTGAACTTTATAAATAAAGTTTACAAAAATGATTAAAAAATAAGTAATTTAAATAATTTTTGCAATGTAAAATTCCTTTAACTCTAGAAACGGACTTTGTTGTTGAAAACGATGTGCTATTGAAAACTAATATCAGAAGTCATTCAACAATTAATGATTATTAGCAAAACTAGGACTTTTTTAAAAAAGTTGATAAATGTGAAAAAAATGAAATTTCACATTGAAAAAATGATTTAAATTACTTATTTTTTGATAATTTTATATCATATGCCATATATAGAATAATAAGTAGTGAACAATATAAGGAAGGTTTACAGAAAGTTTTACTGAGATTGCCTACGTGTAAAAAAGTAATATCGGTCCGCGTAAATGAATTATGATTGAAAATGTGTCTAACGCCAAAAAATGATGATGAATTGACAACACTGTATTTGAGATAGGGGTGGTCTAATGGTATACGTAACGCACACACTCGTATTTTTGTTACAAATATACACCAATTTTATAACTATAAGAATTACTGGAGCCACCTGTTGCAATCTGTCAATCATATTATCAGAGCTGCTGCGCGAAGCGCGCCGCTCGGAGTCGGCAACCAAAAAAAAAAATGAACACGCCATTGCCAAGCTATCTCAATAATTACGAGTAATTGAAACTCGCATATTGTGATGATATGTTAGCGATCTAGGGTTGGCAGCACTACTCACGCACTCACGCGGCTGCCTCCCCTCCCGACTAAGGCAGTCTAGCCCGAGCGCCTCATGGGTTCACACGCGTCCGGTCTCCGCATCCCGCAATTATATTAATAAAGTCATACTATTAATCTTAACGGCACGAGTATTTATTTATGGAACCTACACAACATAACATGGCGCAGTCGGTAGTCTCGGCGGGAACGGTGTTTAAGATTCTCGTCGTTCGTGATTATCGTCGTTTGTGATTATCGTAAAATACGACAAACAGTGTAAAAGTGGATTCTCGTCGAATACCAGTAAGAGTATCGTCGACGAGAACACATGTAAAGTGCCAAGCTGGAGACAAACGGAAAGTCAGTTCCGGGAAACGTGCCCGAACACACGTTTGAAGAGAAGTCGCAGGGCGAGACGACAACAAGCGGGAACACGAAAAGTAATTATACGGACGCAAACTCGTTAGTAGAGAATTTCGATATTATGGAAACCGCGATGAAGGCACCACCACCGTTGTCGTTCGACGGTAATGTTAAAGAAAATTGGCTCAAATGGAAACAAAGGTTTGACTTGTACATGGAAGCCACTGGATTAGATACAAGGCCAGAGGAGAGAAGAATCGCTGTTTTCTTACATACGATAGGAGAAGAGGCACTGGAAAAGTACAATACTTTCAATCTAAGTGCAGATGATAAAAAGAAGTTCGTCGCAGTAGCGGCGGCATTTGAGAATTACTGCACGCCGAAAGCAAACGAAACTGTAGAAAGACATGTGTTTTTCACGCGCGTGCAACAGAGTGGTGAAAATTTCACGAATTATTTAACGGATTTAAAAAAGGTATGTGCCACGTGTGGATTTGATCACCTTCGAGATGGACTAATAAAAGACAGAATCGTGTGTGGAATAGGTGACACAGAACTAAAAAATCGCCTACTACGTGAAGAAGATTTAAATCTAGAAAAGTGCATAAAAATCTGCTGAGCGGTAGAGCTGGCAGAGATTCAAACAAAGACGATCGGCGATGAAGCCAAAGTTCACGCGGTCAAGAAATCTGAAAAGCACGCGGCGACCGGAAATTCTCGGAAGCAGACTTCGAGCGGCGCGCGCGGCAATAACAGCGGCGGAAGCGGCAAGGCGCGAAGCAGCGGCGCAGGCAGCAAGGCAAGCGGTGGCGCAGGGAGAAGTTCGCCATCTTTGTCCAACCAACAGCGGACATCTTGCCAGCGATGCGGCCGTCAGCATGCGTATCGTCAATGCCCGGCATACGGTAAAGAATGCAATATATGTAAGCGGAAAAATCATTTTGCGAAAATGTGTAGAAGCAAAAACAGTTCAGAGCATCGCGATGATAAAGTAGATTCTTTATATGTCGGTAGTTTAAATAGTAGTAACAATGAATTTGATTGGATAGAGAATATTACATTAAATAATTCGCGTAAAATTGAAGTAAAGCTAGACTCAGACGCGCGATGCAATGTGTTACCGAGTTATAAGTTAAAGAATTTAAAATTGAAAAATGTTAAAATAGAGAAAACTAACGTAAAATTAACTGCATATGGTGGCCAAAGAATAAACGTAGTTGGCAAATGTAGGTTAAACTGTAAATTTGTAAATAGAGGAAATGTAGACTTAGAATTTGTAGTAACTGAAAATACGGATGATCAGCCAGTGATAATAGGTTTACCTAATCTGATGCAACTCAATATTGTGCAAAGAGTACACAATATTAAAGCAAGTGAAAACAGTAATAATTTAACAGTAGAAAAAATCTTAAATAAACACAAAGTTTTTGAAGGCATTGGATGCGTAACTAATTTTGAATATGACATTCAATTAAAAGAGGACGCTAAACCTACTATTACTGCATGCAGAAAAATACCGATAGCATTAAATGATCAAGTAAAAAAAGAATTAGACAAAATGGAAAAAGACGGTATAATTAAAAAGGTTACTGAACCAACTGACTGGGTTCACCCAATAGTAATAAGTAAAAAGAAAAATGGGCAGATTAGAATTTGTATAGACCCAACAGAATTTAATAAATTTGTTAAAAGACATCACAGAAAAATACCTACTTTTGATGAATTAAGTTCCAATATAGCAGGTAGTAAAGTTTTTAGCGTACTTGACGAAGATAGAGCCTTTCACCAAGTAAAACTGTCTGAAAGAAGCAGCTATATGATGACAATCATCACTCCGTTTGGTAAATATAGGTACTTGAGAATGCCATTCGGTATAAATTCTGCTACTGAAGTATTTCAGGATTGCTCCGAGGAAATCTTTGGTGATATAGAAGGCGTTGACATTTATGTTGATGATGTCAGAGTAAGAGGTAGAAATCAAAAAGAACATGATTTAAGATTAGAAAAAGTTCTGGAAAGAGCAGAACAAAGAAATGTAAAATTCAAGTTTGATAAATGTAAAATTAGTAGTTCAGAAGTTAAATATATGGGTCATGTATTTACTGAACAAGGTATAAAACTTGATACTGATAGAGTAAAGTCAATTGTCGATATGAAGCCTCCAAAGGATAAAAAAGAACTAGAAACTTTTCTTGGTATGATTACGTACGTATCAAGATTTATCCCTAGTTTAGCAACCAAAAATGCTGTGTTAAGAGAACTAAAAAAGAAAAATGTACAATGGAATTGGGACGAAAATGCGAATAAAGCGTTCACAGAATTAAAAGAGATCTTATGTAAAGCGCCTGTTTTGCAATATTATGATGTAAATAAACCTGTAGTTTTAAGCGTAGACGCATCGAAAAGTGGTCTTGGAGCTGTATTACTACAGAATGGCTTGCCAGTAGCGTATGCAAGCAAAGCGTTCACTCAAACTGAACAAAGGTACGCTCAAATCGAGAAAGAAGCGTTAGCTATAGCATTTGGTTGCATAAAATTTGATCAACAAATTTATGGTAAAGAAATTTTAGTAGAGTCAGATCATAAGCCGCTTGAGGCAAATTTAAAAAAATGTATTAATGATTGCCCTGCTAGGCTACAAAGTATAAGATTAAGGTTAAAAAGATACAATTTAACTGTAAAATACAAACCTGGTTAAGAATTATTTTTAGCAGATGCATTATGGAGAGCATATAGTAACTGTGAAAAATTAGATCTAGAAAAAGAGATCGAAACACAAGTCTGTTTAGTTATGGAAAGCTTTCCCATTTCTTTAGATAAAAAAGATCAGTTTATAAAAGAAACTGAGGCTGATGAAGAAATGCAACTGCTAATCAAATATATACAAGAAGGCTGGCCTACCACTAAGAGTCAGGTTGCGAGCACTGTTAAACAGTATTATAATTATTCTAAGGAGTTAAGTATCATAGATGGCCTAGTATTTAAAGGTAACAGACTAGTCGTGCCTAAAAGTTTAAGAAAAGAAATGTTAAACTTAATTCATTTTAATCATCTAGGCAAAGAAAAGTGTAAAAACAGAGCGCGTGAAATTCTGTTTTGGCCTTTGATGAATAAAGAAATTGACGACGTTGTAGATAACTGCGCAATCTGCAATAAGTACAGAAAAGGCAACGTAAAAGAAACTCTAATAAATAGAGAAGTTCCAGACGGACCCTGGGAAACGTTAGGTGTAGACATATTCTACTACCAGGGATTCTCGTTTTTGTTGATTATCGATTATTTCAGCAAATACGTAGAGGTAGCGAAATTGCGAGACATGTCCAGCTGCTCTGTAATTAGTGTGTTAAAATCGCAATTTGCTAGACATGGCGTACCGTATGTAATGTACTCAGATCCGGGTACACAATTGAACAGCGCAGAAATGTCAAAGTTTGCTGCAGATTGGAACTTCACTTTGAAAACGTCAAGTACAAAGTACTCCCAATCAAATGGGATGGTTGAAAGGCACATTGCCACCATTAAAAGAATGTTTAAAAAACTTGATGACGATCCAGGTAAAGATCCAAATCTTGCAATGCTAGAGTACAGAAACACTCCAATAGGCGAGGGATTAAAATCACCTAATGAAATAATGTTTGGTAGGAAAATTCGCGGAATTTTACCCAATAATAAAAATTTTGAAAGAGAAAAAGAGAATAGAGAGATTAAAGAAAAATTAATAGATAGACAGTTGCGTCAAAAGGAATATTACGATAGAAATGCGCACAATCTAAAACCTGTAAATATAAATAACAAAGTGTACGTAAAAAAAGAATTAAATAAACCGATGGTCCCAGCTAGAGTGACCAAGATCTGCGATAGGCCGAGATCCTATGAAGTGCAACTGCCTAATGGTAATGTAATTGAAAGAAACCGCAGGCACTTGCATGGTCCGGTTTACAGTGACGACTGTAATAGCGATAGCGCACATGATAATGTAAACGAGCATACAAATGAAAATGTTCGTGCTAGCTCACCGGCCAAAAATGTAAATACACCAACTAGAGACGGGAGCCATGGTTCTCTGCGAGAGATCCCGATAATCGCAATCCGCGATTATCCGATAGCTCCGCTATCGCCCGAGCATGAAAGAAGGACTTCTTTTTCGCGGTCCGCCGGATACCCGTGTCCTTACACGCGGACTCCCCGCGACACACTCTTTTTATCCTACCTACCGCTCTTTGCGGTAAGTCAAAAATCAAAACAAATCTCCTCTCCGGCGCCCTCCCCGCGGACCCGCAAACCGTAGCCGATCAAAGTTCCCGGGGTACCGGCAGTGCGTCCTGGCGGTTGAGCACCCCTTGCTTGCGGGCTCTCAACCCAAAAGGGCTACGTGCCTCCGCCGCCAGTCCACTACTTTCCCCCGTTCCCTCCTCCCAACCACGGACCTACGAACTCTTTGGAGATGGAGGCTGGAGGCACTGCCGTGCTGCCGGCAGCGCGCGGAGGTGCGGGGCTTCTGTAACGTGTCGTCCTGACGCCACGTTACAATGTAAAAAAAGAATTAAATAAACCGATGGTCCCAGCTAGAGTGACCAAGATCTGCGATAGGCCGAGATCCTATGAAGTGCAACTGCCTAATGGTAATGTAATTGAAAGAAACCGCAGGCACTTGCATGGTCCGGTTTACAGTGACGACTGTAATAGCGATAGCGCACATGATAATGTAAACGAGCATACAAATGAAAATGTTCGTGCTAGCTCACCGGCCAAAAATGTAAATACACCAACTAGAGATGTAAATATACCGACGGGAGCTAGTCCTAAAGTAAACATGCGAACACGCTCGGGTCGTGAAATTAGAAAACCCGAGTACCTAAAAGACTATGTACAATAAATGTATTAGGTCTCCCCAAAGGAGGGAGATGTGATGATATGTTAGCGATCTAGGGTTGGCAGCACTACTCACGCACTCACGCGCCTGCCTCCCCTCCCGATTAAGGCAGTCTAGCCCGAGCGCCTCATGGGCTCACACGCGTCCGGTCTCCGCATCCCGCAATTATATTAATAAAGTCATACTATTAATCTTAACGGCACGAGTATTTATTTATGGAACCTACACAACATAACACATATTTAGGTATATAGTCGAATGTAAATAATATCTCAAATCTTTAATAATGGTTAATGCTTTTTATAACTTGTAATAATATCCCAAGTCTGATCCATTGAAACGAAACTTGAACTGCATTGCTGAATTTATCCTGTCTGAACTTATCCAGTGTTTCACCGCACACCTGTAAGGGTGGCACTGACTCTAATTATAAGAAGTAATCATTCAATATATCAGAGTCATATTCAATTTGATCTGTATGTTTCTTAGAACTATGAATATCACAATTCCTTAAATTCTGCCATCTCTGTGTATTTGAGCTCATGTCAAATCTAAATTTAAAGATAGCTTTCTTGTCTTGCTTAATTGCAGCAGCAATGTAATTCCTGCAGTTTCTATATGTTGCCCAATTCGTATCCCTCTTACATTTCAAGAAATTCGTACGTGCCTTATTTCGAAACTGTTTCGTTTTTTTTTATTGTGTTAGTGATCCTATGGGTTACAAAAACACTCGGTCGAGTCTCGCGCCAATCTGGTCGGGCAACGGAGACTTTTCTTGAATCTTCTCAATAAAAGTTTCTGATTGAGCGATAAAAGGCTTTTTTTTATTATTATATTATTATTTCTGAGCCCGATTAAGGAATGTTCCGGAAAAATAATTTCCGAATTTTTTTCGTCTTTAAGCTCTTTTTCACATAGAAGATCACGTTTTTAACCTATGGTCTCTTTGAGGCTTTTGTTCTTCTTGACGAGTAGAGTTATTTGAGACAATGAAAAATCTTGACCTTGACTGCTAAGGTCAAAATAATTTCATCCGGCAAAAGGATGACCAATTATTTCTTTCAACTCTTTCCACCCTGTACAAGCAGCGGTCGAAGACCGAGACTCTTTATCCAAAATAATTCACAATATACGTGTGGAGATAGGGATTGAGTACGGCGGTTCAACGGCCGAGGCTATTTGAAACACTATTTCTCTTAATATCGGCAATGCAACGAATATTTAATGAATGGCGACGCATCAAGGGAAGTTAATGATTACAATCATACCAGTTTTTAATATCCTGAATAGATTGTTACAGATTAAATGACATTTATATAGGAGTTACTCGAGAGACAATGCATCATTTAAGTTCCGTCATCGTCTCTTTCTCCGTCTTCGCATGTCCATTTGCTTTTTTACATCACATATGGCAGTAACAACGCAACTTACTTCGCTAAAATAATGAAATACAACATCACCTCTAATTTTCATAAGCTGTCAAGAGTCAGCTATTATTGCATCTGTGTTACTTTTGATGATATAGTTGATACACTAATAAAATAACATTACGTGATCGGAAAATATGATGTCCCTAACACGAAATACAACAGTAGAACCAATTAAAAATTATATTTTTATTATAGTTTTTAATTCAGTGATATATTCTTATGCCCCATGACAGAATTCACGTTATTGTTAATCTCCAGACGCAAAGTCAGCATAAGGCGTATGCTGGCCCTATGCATAAGACGTTACGATAATAACCATGAGAAGCACCTTGCAAGCCACAGTCACTCGCAAAGTTCCTAACTAGGAGTGAAGTCCTAGATCGTATTCCATAGTCGAGAATAATTAGTTTGATTGTGCCTTCTATGATTAGATTTTGCGTTACCTTCGTATTTACATTATACCAATTTTAATAAACTATAATCGTTCTTTATATAATTCCAAATCGGTACAATTAAGAGACTCGGTCGAGTCTCGTGCCAAATACAGGCAGCCCGCTGTACAAGACACGGCCCGCCGAGACTCTTTACTCGAAGCATCTCTTGCACTTGTGCTTCGACTCAAATATTTTATGAACAATTATGTATGAGAAAAAGTTATTGATACACTCACTATAGGAATCAAGGGTTCTCAATCGATTGCCATCAAGTTCAATACGATTAGTCTACGAGATCAGGGAGTATTCACATGGCGAGCGAGATGATTTTATTTCAGGTCCGCCGTCGTCATCGTGATCGTCATCGTCCTCGCACGTCTATCTAGTTTTTTACACGACAGATGATGCTGACTGCTTTATCTTTTTTACCTATTTGTACTCTGGATGGTGTTGGTAATTTACAAATACACAACACAATCAAAAATACTTTGTACGTGAAGCTACCGTTCACATCAAATTTCCAGTTAATATAAGGCTGCTTTCACAATAGTATAGAATTATTAAGGCTATCATGTGGAGCGCGTATGAATGGGTGTACGTATGTGAATGCTTTGACATAGTTCCTCGTATTTTAGGTGACAATTTTTAGAGATATAGGATATCCAGGTGTTCCTCTCCGTAGTCTCCTGTATTTAGGTGTCGTATGTGGAAGTTCAGGGTGTTCAGGTGTTCTGCTTCATAGTTTAATGTATCTAGGTGTCGGTTGCGGAAGTCCAGAGTGTCCAGGTATTCCACTGCGCAGTTTCTTGTATCTAGGTGTCGGGCTTGGAAGTCCAGGGTGTCCAGGTGTTCCGTTCTGTAGTTTCTTGGATTTAAGAGTCGGATGTGGAAATCCAGGGTGACCAGAAAAGTGTGCAACGAGCGACGCTTTGGCGTTCCGCTCAAACCATAGTGTCGTCTCTATTGTTCGTACGGCCTAAGGTATGTAAATAATTCAGCACACTCTCCTCTCTTACGTTTACCACACGGCTTCAACAAGCTGGATACCATAAACGACGTTTATATGCATTTAAGATTACATTTTCTTTACAAATTTTTATATATCTTTATGCATTTCTAAAAAAAATGGATTTAAAAATTAAATTTATATGCCATTAAACATTTTCGACAATGCAATATACGTTTTTGATTAACGGCATCACAATGCATTTACATTTTATATCTGTTAAAATATATGTATATTTCAGTGCTTAGAGCTTCTATATCCCGTTGAGCAACAAAAACTTGTGATATCCTTCCAAAAAACACTTACGTGTAAAAAACTATGCCAAGTAGAAGAATGCTGTGAATTCGTCTAACAAAAAGTATTGAAATCATATTATTAATGCCAAGTACATAAGTCATTATGAATCTACCTATTATATGATCTAACACTGGCCCATCATTTTAATTGCATTTTCAAAATTTCCTATAATGTTTTTGCTACTCTTTTACATTACTACTACTTCCCGTATTCAATTATGATTCAATGGTCATTTAATAATTATTAAAACTTTAGGCGATTCCTTATCGAGTATTACTTGGCGGGTCCGATCATCATTTGATATAAATTTCCGTTCATTATGTTATCCTTCAAACTCAAAACCAGCGTCAAATTTCTGTATAGAGCATATTAGTAATAACTCGTCAAAAATAATCATGGTAAAAGTCTAATAACAAACATATAGTATTAGAGCACTATTAGTATGTTCAAAGTAAGTACTTTGAAATTTATGGCACGGACCCGCGAAGTAGTACTCAATAAAGAATCACCTAAAATTTTTGTAATTAATAAATGACGAGGTTCTGCCTAAAATATTATTCTTAACGTTTCCGTTTGTGAACGTCTATTATCGTCCTTTAACATTTTCGATTTCATTTCGTTATACTGTCTTATCTTTTGCTCTCTGTTACGCTATAATCAATCTCAACTCTCGAGTCTCCCCACAACGACGTAAGGGTGTGAGGACAGGACGCCATCCTTCTGGCAATAGAGACTTTTTGTGATTGCGTTTGCCCGTGGCTGCTGCATTTTTGAAAATATTGAGGGAGGGACAACTTTGGAGGGATCTGCACGACGCTTACACCGACCAGGATGTGCCCGCCGGTTCCGCCGATCTGGATGTTGTCGCGATCCTGCTGCTGCCATCAAGCCGATGAACTCTGGAGCACCCGGGAGGGGACTCCGACGTTTTCATCGGCCAGCGAAAACTGCTCTCTGAGCCTATCTGCCGCCGATATGGCCGGCCGGGAAATGAGGCTTTCCTCCCTGGCCCGCATAAGGCCTGCCACTCGCCCGCGACAGTGTCCCCGTCCGGCCGAGAAACCGCCTAAACATCGTCGACCCGCCAGGCCTAGCATTTCGAGGACGGTGCCCACAGGATGGCCGCTTGTCTCCACTCGGCCGATTCCGCCGCTGCGGGTCGAAATTCGGGAGAGCTCGGCCACCTCCGTTAACGTTAGTCCCGTTCCGGTGCCGTTCCTGTCTCACCTGGGCCCGCTTGCCCACGATCATCGATGGATAAAGCATTGTCATGTGAAGCTTTGAAGCAAACCAACGTGCAAAACCTTGAGAGAGAGAGAGAGAGAGAGAGAGAGATCAAATACTTTTGGTTGCTTATCGCCGCTTTTCGCTGCCTGTAGGCTATTACGACTGAGCTATAGCTTTCTTTTCTTGTATTTGGTGAGATCTTTCGGTTTCCTAACTATTTTCTGCCTTTTCTTATTGAAGATTATAGACACGTGCACAGCTAAACCGTACATTTAGCCCGTGGCTAATTTTGTTCAGTTATTACGCGAATGTCTTTCCGCCTAGTTTAGTATAAAGGACGATAGAGCCGTTATAATTATATTATTGCGTTTATTGATTTTGCGCCTTTTCTTATATGATTTTTGATTTACTTTCTATCTGTGATTCACCTTTTTCCTGGACTCTTCGCTTAGTGTACGCCGTGGAATCTGCCTACCAGAGCGTTTGATCCTGGGTTGACCGGCTTGGTGGCTCGACAGCCAGATTCTCGCGCAGCCTATTTCTAATATTTCAATTATTATAAGATATCGTTTACCATAATACGACTATTCTTTTGAGACTGTAACTTACGTTGAGATTTCAGAACCCTAAGTTCCGTTAAATTTCGTGGCGAACTCACGCCTATTATTATTCCGAATATCTGGAAACTTTACAGTTCTTTATCTATTTTTTTTCTCTTGAACTGTTATAATCTAATTTGAATATTCTCTTTTGGCTAAAACTTTCTTGAATTTTTCTGAAGTGTGATTCCTAACTTAGTATTCCTAGTTTTGTATGCGATATCTTCCTCTTTTATTTTGTAAATTAATGCTGGTGGGCTGTATTTGATTATCGTTGCCGAAAGTTATTGTATTGTCGCATTTATATTATCTGGGGAAGCTTTGTGAATTTTGCGTATGGCGAACGTCCCTCTGACGTGTCGCGTGCTAGCCGCCCTCTGAGCCGACCTTACTTGTTGATGTTCCTTGACGCCGTGCCTTCTGCCGGTCTTCGAGATTGTACTGCCCGTTGTAAGAACGTTGTGCAATTGCAACTATAATTAATACTCGTTATAATATTTTATTTTCTGACATGTGATATTTTATGTGCAATTTCTTGTTCTAATCTATGGTGACTTTTTCTATTTATTGTGCTTGATTTCCGGTATTCGCGTCGTGTGCGTGTTCCTGTATTGCGTTGAATAAATTTTGATTTTGAGCGTGCGTCAACAAACCCATGCCTATTATTGATCCTCGGATTCGCACTAATTTACAATTTTGTTAGACTAACTCTTTCTTATTAATGTTACCGATTGCGGTTAGAATTTCGCGCGTGCGAGAACTGGAACCGCGTATTCGTTCCGAGTAGATATACAAGAAGAGTTCTGGACCAAGATTCTTGCAGTGACATTTTACCGACCTGTGGGTTCGCGTCCGTTCTAAGTTAGCGATGTTAGCGCCCCCTCTGGATGGTAAGTTAGAGCGTTTGAGCCCCGTATGAAAGATTTCTGCTTACCGACGCCTCCAGAAATTTGAATATTCCTGCTGACCGACACCCCTCGCGAGTGAGTGAGTGAGATGGAGAGAAATAGGATGCGCGCGCACGAGTCGACGTCGCTGACCCCCTTCGGTTTGACGTCATCGGAAGGGGGCTCTGGTTTTACATGAAGTTTCAGGCGTTTTACGGCAGATTTCAGAAATTTTATGTCAGATTTCACAAATATTACATCAGTTTTCAGAAATATTACGTCAGGTATCAGTATTTTACGGCAGATTTAAGAAATTTTACATCAGACGTAATTGAGTACATTCTAGATTCTTCTATCGCAACCCCACCTCAATCTCATCCATGATACATTGACCTCGCACGTGGAAGCGGTGGATTTCAAAGGGGATGATCGGCAACTCTTTGTACGTTACTGAATTTTGTACTTCCGATCTCCTGGCAGCTTCTACCCCTCTCCCTTCCCTGTACACTCCCCGCAGACTAGCGTGTGGAGTCAGTCGGTGGAGATGAGGAATGACCCTTTGTATGTCACCGAAGAATTTCGATGACACTTCATCATCATCGTCATAACCCCCCCTGTTCCTCCTCCGCCTTCATTGCCTCTATCGTTCCGCTACGATACAGTAGCCTTGGAGAGACGGTAAAAATCAAAAGAGGTGTCGAATAACCCTTTGTATGGTGCCGAAAAAATTGTTTACAATAATTTAATGTGCACTATTTATTCGAGAGGAACTGCGCATCGAGACGGTGGATCTTTGATGCCAAAGAATTTAGCAAACCTTTGTATAATGCCGAAATGTAGATCCATGAATTGTTTACTTAATTAAAATTCCTTCATACTCTTAAGAAGAAGAAGAGTGCCCTCTATATAAGGAAGAGCTTGGTGCTCTTTCATTAGTTTACTGTTGCAATTCATCGAGTTTGGAGAAAGAACGTAAACTGAAAGTAAGAATAGATTTGAGAAGAAAATTTAATCCAACCTGTGCGAAAACGGACTTTTCAAAAATTAACAAAATGGCGCCTCTGGAGGGTTTCCTGCCAACGAAAAAGTTATCAGAACTGGAAGTTGAAAAAGAATACAAGATTACCAGCATGAGGAAAATTCAAACGAAATTTGGAGCAAGACACATCGTTCACGTGGAAAACAGCTTCTCAGTATTCCTGTCAGCAAGGATCTCGAGGGTTCTGACGGACGATGAGGATTTCTTTCAACGGCTGGTTTTGGATACCGCTGAGAATCAGCTTGGTATGCGTTACCTCGGTGAGAAGTTCAACCTCATCGAATTTGGATATTTGTAAACGTTCATACTTATGATTTAAATAAATAAAGTGCCACGTAAGTGACAAAAAGAATACAGCCGCTTATTTCTTTCACACACACTTTATTCTTAATTAAAAAATATACATTCCATCATCCAAGTCCTTAACGATTTAACATTTTCCATCGCACAATTGAAATGCGGGACATGGTGATGCGTACATAAGGTAAGTGAACTTTTTCTCAATTTTTGCAGCGAAGGGCAGCCCAGATCTCCCAAGTTTACGATGTTTAACGATTGCCCCATAAAATTCTCCAAACAATTTTTTTTTCCAATCCTTTTATATAAATTCTGGTTGCATCTCGTAAAATGACTCGAAGAATATTTCTGGCTTGGTTGTAAGATGTATCGCCGGAGTTCTAAGAGATACCATGAAAGTTGCATTGTAACCACAAATTCATGCACTTGTATTTCACCGGAAGAGAGCCCCATGAACACGGTGGTTGAAACAGAAACGTCGCAGGCTCGGAGAAATCGCTACCCACTCCAATCACAGACAGCTCCTTCAAGACAAACTCGTCCGAGGGTTTCTTGAAACCTTGTACGTCCACGATGAACTCCATTGTGGTAGACTGCTTGCATAGAGATGATCGTAGGGTTTTTATACTACTTTTTTCACCCCACCACTAATTGGATTATATTCTACTATTCGATCATGCAGAATTAAACAGAACGCTGATATTTCGGTGGGGAAATGTTGGTCTGCCTCGAATTCGAGACGAACGTCGACTGGTCCAAATTTGAGCGACTCATTTTGCTTGGAGCAATCGATGACAATTAGTGAACCATAAACGAGGAAATCACTCTTCCTCAGGATGGGCTCAGGCTCTTTGCCGTAATAAGTAGCTTGAAAGTTTAGATACATTTCGTACAGCAGAGCAAACTGATTTCGATCAATGTCAAGGTTTAAGTTTCCATAGAGGTAGCATTGCGAATTTAAGAAGAGTTTAACGTCTTTGACATTGCAATGGTCAAAGTGACTGGTATTCTTATTTTTATTATTCTTTTTTCCAGTTTGGAATCCCAATATGACGTATCCAGGTTTTTCAAGTTGACTGGACGTCTTGACGGTCCACACGTGTTTGGATGTGGTAGGGAGTAGAGGATACTCGTACAGTTCCCAAGTGCGGAAGCTCATAGGGATGGGTGCATCCTTCTCGACGAATTTCAGCAGTTCTATCTTTCGACGATAGGAAACCTTTACGTACGGTATCAACCATTCCAATTTTTGAATTACAACTTTGCATTCTTCCGGAGCACTTTGTACAATGGCATTGACATCACTCTTTTTTCTCGTTAGAATGAACTCGTGCTTAGCGTTTACGACGATCTTGCGATAATCTTCGGCAAAGCCTAGTATGATACTCAGCGGTATGGATACGTCAAAGTAACCAGCTGCATCGGTCAATTTATCACTTTGCATCCAACCAGCGTTATCCATCAACGAGCGTTGACCAGGAGTCAGGGAAAGGTAGCCCTTCATGAGACTCGTAAGACCAACGTTCTTATTTCGATCGATCTCTATACCATTCATTTCATAGCGAATCTCATCAAAAAGATGAAAAATGCCGTTATTAATTAACGTTGTGTTTGTAGCCGCCGTAGAACCATCTTCCTTGACGAGCTTTCCATATACATGCAGCGAACTTCTACTCGATAGTAAACACAAGTCTTGATGTTGGACGGAAATTCGTATTTCATCACTGTTGTTGAATGTTGACGATGCGTAAGGCTGGTGTGCATGCATTTCGCAGTGCGCTATAGACTCATCGAAGGTGATTGGTGTCCGAATATTTAAAGTTTCTTCCTCCATGGTAAGCAGCCGATAATAATAATGGAGCAGCAGAATGAACTTTTTAGTTTCCTCTTTCGACTGGTGTGACCTTGAGTCCCAGATTTCTCAGGAATAACACGTTTTGAGATGTCAACGCTTTGCAGCGCGGACGATGACTGATTCCTTTCAGACATATCGGTTCATTATTATCCCCCAAAAAACACTTACGTGTAAAAAACTACGCCAAGTACAGGATTGCTGTGAATTCCTCTAACGAAAAGTATTGATATCAGATTATTGAGGCCAAGTACATAAGTCACTACATGTTTTCCTATTATATGATCTAGCACTGGCCCATCATTTTAATTATATTTTCAATATTTCCTATAACGTTTTCGCTACTTTTTTATGTTACTACTGCTTCCCGTATTTAATTATGATTTAATGGTGATTTAATAATTAATAAAACTTTAGGTGATTCCTTATCGAGTACTACTTGGCGGCTCCGTGCATTTCTTGATATAAATTTGGTACAAAACCAGTACCAATTTTCTATAGAAAGCATATTAACAACAACTCGTCAAAAATAATCACGGTAAAAACTTAATAACAAACATACAGCATTAGAATACTATGAGCACGTCCAAAGTAAGTACTTTGGAATTCCTGGCACGGACCCGCCAAGTAGTACTCGATAAGGAATCACCTAAAGTTTTATTAATTATTAAATCACCATTAAACCATAATTAAATACGGGAAGCAGCAGTAACTTAAAAGAGTAGCGAAAACGTTATAGGAAATATTGAAAATATAATTAAAATAATGGGCCAGTGCTAGATCATATAATAGGAAAAAATTTCGTGACTTATGTACTTGGCCTCAATAATATGATATCAATACGTTTTGTTAGAGGAATTCACAGCAATCCTGTACTTGGCGTAATTTTATACATGTTAGTGTTTTTTGGGGGATATCACAAGTTTTTGTTGCTCAATAGGATATATGAAAAAAGTTTTAAACACTGAAATCTGTTAAACAAATATAAAATATAAATGCATTGCAATGTCACTAATCAGACAAATATATTGCGTTGTCGAAAATGTTAAATGCCATATAAACGTAATTTATAAATTGATTTTTCTTAGAAACACAAAAATATATATAAATTTGAAAGGAAAATATATTGTTAAATGTAAAATGAAATTCATTTAGAAAGAAGTTGAGTCATTTAGGAATCTTCGTAAGCTTTCTACCGTGATAATCATAGACATGACACCAAAAGATTTCCATGAGGAAAGAAGATTTCCTCCTCATTTGCACGCTTACAATCAATTACATATTTAGTTCAAATCAAAAATCAAAGTAAATTTTTCTTTAAAATATATATTTTTCATTTAATTTGTTTTTATGAAATCTGCGGTTGAATGTTTAATAGATAAAAATAAAATTAATCTTTGAATTTTGTATGAAAATTTTTATCAAAAATTACATGTGATTAGTTTCTCATAATTAATAATATTTACTTGAATGAAGGGTAAATATACTTAAACTAATAGCCGCTATTATAACCACTACCAATCTTTCGGTTATACACAATCCCCATTATTACACGGATTTCACGTGTAGTCTTATCGTTATGACTTCTCCTTGAAAATTCACCAAGTTTCCGTCCTGATCGACTATGCGAAGCTGTAGGTGATCTATTATCTTGGTCGTTACTGGGAGATAAATGACGTGCGATAGCACCTCTATAATCTTATATCCTGGTGGTACAACCGGAAAGAATTCGTGGATGGTATGTACCTTACGTTCGTTTATGTAAGCGCCTGTAGTAATGTTGCATTCGACTCGTAAGGCGTTCACCTTGAGAATAGCTACAGGTACGTCGGATGTATGTAATTTATTAGCTTCCAAAACGCGTTGAGTAAAACCCAACATGCGACCAATCGAATTATCAAGTTGAAAATTGATGTCACTATTACACTTAATTTCGCTGCACAGGGTATTATTGTTAGGCTTAATACGAATTAAGATATTTTTATCTATCAACGCACTCTGTACATAGTTTTCGATATCCTCTATCTCATAGCTACCAATGGGTATAATAATAACTTCATCCCCCACGTAGAACTTGTTGTGACCAGTGTCCACGTTAGGAATCGAATTAAAGGTTAGTAATTCAATAAGCCCCAGAGCATGATTTTTATCTCGAGAAAGCTCGAATGGGGGAAAGTACTGGGCTTCGAGTGTAGAAGAATTGCCTGATAAAGTTAACGTGAATGAATCTTCCATGATTGCAAACGTTTGACTGACGATATGAAATTATGCAGCATGTTTATATAGACGATACTCATTCTTATGATTTCACTATCCACATAAAAACTTGAGACACAAGTGACCACGTTCGAAAGTATCATAGTTCTGATACCATTCATAATAATATTTTACACTACCAACGTCGAGATACCTGATGAGATCTGGGGGGGGGGGTCGAAGATTACCGAAACTGTCAAAATAAATAACTGAGTCTTTTTTCTTCATGTAGGCGACCCAGTGTGTTCCAGAACCATCCTCATCGTCGAGATTGACGATTACCGATTCGTATATGTACGATCCACCTTTTGGTTATTTGTATAACCCTCATGTTATGCATTCCGCATAAAAATTCCACGAAAATGTGGAATGTTCATAAACTTCGCGTACTTGAGCAGATCTGCATTGGTTAACGCTCGACGTGGTAGTTTCACTTCAAGTTTTTTGGCTTTAGATGAATGCCCAGTCCCTTCTTGTAGGGTTTCAAGTACAGTCCTCTGCCGAGCGCGATGGATTCCATCGTTTTGTTATGTCGCTGGCTTTCCTTCAATTGTTCTTTGGTTGCCTTGGCATCGTTCACGGCTTTGGCTATACCTGCACCTCCTGCTAACGCTCCAGCAACACTCAGACCCGCAAACATAAGAACGATAAACGGCAGGAAACTTCCAATTTTTGATGGTACGGGTAGAACACGTGGTGCACGTATATTCTTCTTTCCACCAGCCTGCTTGACAGTTTGCGCACCCTCAAGAGCAGACTGAATTACTGCCTGTGCATCGTTGCTTTGTATCACCGATCGTTTGGCTGATTCGATAACTTTTCTCAGCGTTATCTTCTTCTTCTTAGGCTTCTTCTTCTTTTTCGTGATACCCATGCCGAGTTTTGATTTAGCGTTCGTTATGTTCGCCTCAGACCAGGTAGCTGCCTTCTCACCGATGCTCGCGTCCTTCGCGAAGACACGTTTCCAAGCTTTGTCGGCAAGTATCCTGTCAGCCGCCCCTCTATGTTCTAGATTTTCCCGATTCTTCGAGTACGCAATATTGTGCTCTTTGCAAGCTGCGTCGAGGAGATTGATACCCAAATCACCTCATGCGAGTCTTTTCGCTAGTTTTGTACCGGTACAAAACTACCACAGTATTGATAGCCAGGTATATGTAATTCAACTGGTAGGCTGTTGATGATTTTGTTGACTAAGCCCTTGCCACTATGGTGCTTCTTTTTTCCCATGTATTTACGTTTAACATGCATAATCATGTCCTTACCCTATCGTGAAACAGTTCCGACTGAACGCTGCTCTTTATAAACCTGTTATTTATCGAACTTCGACGAATTAACGCGAGTTAAAAAGAAAAAGAGGAGGAAACGTAATGGTGAATTACTTCCGAACAGTATACGCGCGGTGTTTTGCGGACCGTCAAACTGCGGCAAGACAAATGCATTGCTCTAATAATACACCCCAATGGATTAAGATTCGAAAACGTCTACGTATACTCAAAATCACTGGATCAACCAAAATATCAGTTTTTAAAACATTTACTCGATTCCGTGGATCGTGTTGAATATGTTCCATTTACGTTACACGAACAAGTGCTGCCACCAAACAAGGCACACCGCAATTCAATAATTATTTATGATGATATAGCTTGCGAGAAACAAGGTAACATGAGAGCCTTCTTCAGTATGGGACGACACAGAAATGTTGACTGTTTCTATCTTTGTCATGCCTACGCTCACATTCCGAAACATCTCATATGCGACAATGCTAATTTACTTGTGCTCTTTAAGCAGGATAAAGCATGGATTCAGTGATTGCAACATGCAGCGTGAAAAACAGCGTGAAAGAGCAGAAAGACATCTTGCGTCAAATCGCTAATACTAGCGATTTGATTCGCAGAAAGCATCGACTGATAAAATTGGGTAAAGAGAATTTTGAGCATGCGATGAGTGAGGTGTTCAAACCAATAGTAAATCTACTGCAGGAACTAGTGAACGTATGTCAAATAAAGCATAATACTATAAAAGATAAGATTAAGGATGAAATTAAAGATGAAATCAGAGATGGAATAAAACATAATGCACGAATGAATGATAAGTTCGAAACAACGAATCAATCGTTTAATACGCTCAAAAATGATTCCACTATCGGGGAAATCAGTGATATTCAAGATGATGATAATGATGATGATAATGATGATGATGGACACAAGAATGATATGGATTTATCCGTTAATCAAAATGATTCGATGCAACGGTATCTTAATATGCTGCTATCGAGGCAGAATAAACGATTATATATACTATCTGCTATCGAGGCAGAATAAACAATTGGATACTACCTATGGTGTGCGTAAACTTTCCAAGAAGAAGTTGATGGTTGGAGATTCACCTATAAGTTTTGAGGGTGATCAAATCCATATAGGCGATACCAGTTATCCGAAAACTAACGGTTTGATCGAACTATTGTTCAGGAAGATACCTAACGAGACTCATGTAACCCAAGATGACTTGAACAATTACAAAAACATTATTATAACAACGAATGCATATAAAAAGTACTATAAACCTGATGGTGATATTCGTAGGAGCAAGAGTTTCAACTTTAAAAATGTTATTGCAAAACTAATTGAACTGTCGTTTGTAACGGGCAAAGGTATCATACCACGGTACATGATCGCTGCTAAGGACAGACTAACGGATTACGTGTACTGGGACGATCCCAATAAATT